ACAGCGGTATGTCTGTGGACTTACAACGCTAAAAATTGGGTTTCGATACCCGTGGTGGGCAGAGCACAGATAGCCTTTTGTGCTGAACTGCAAACAAACAATATTCTTATTGAAAATGCGAAACGTATAGGAAACAGAGGAGAACCAACACGAAACAAAATTCCACTGGTTTCTATTAATATCAACTGGAGTTTTTGACAATTGTAGCGCATATATTAATATTTTGTTATAATTTGTTTATGTAATTTCAATGGATAAGTCCAATCCAGAACCACTAAGATAAATCTAATAATTTAATGGCCTAGGGACTGGTGTAAAATCCGACATGAGAAATGGTATATTGGTCTAGGATGCTGCATCCGTATTGATATATTTCTGTAACAGCTGGCGTTCGAATCCCACTTCGAGTGAAATCTTAATTTTAATTAATATAAAATAATGTCATATTGAAATACATTATTAAGAGCAATTAGCATCAAAATAGTTATATTTTTATCATTTATCTTCTTGCTCTCCTCAAGTATCATAGTCAGAATGCTTAAGTGGACTAACACTGTCTGTTTAGGATTCAATCAATATAAAATGCCCAGCATGGCCAGGTTGTGAGGGCACTCGACTCGCAATCTGAGGGTCGCGGGTTCGAATCCCCGTCACACCAAAACACGTTCGCCCTTTCAGCCGTGGGGGCGTTATAAAGTGACAGTCAATCCCACTATTCGTTGGTAAAAGAGTAGCTGAAGAGTTGGCGGTGGGTGGTGATGACTAGCTGCCTTCCCTCTAGTCTTACACTGCTAAATTAGGGATGGCTAGCGCAGATAGCCCTCGTGTAGCTTTGCACGAAATCCAAAAAACAAACAATCAATATAAAAATATTTATTTTATTTTAGTTTGTTTGTTTTTAATTATGCACAAAGCTACACAAGGTCTATCTGTGCTCTGCCCATCACGGGTATCGAAACCCGGTTTCAAGCATTGTAAGTCAGCAGACATACCGCTGGGCAACTGGGGGCATTTTATTTTAGAAAATAATTTAACTTAATGTACAACGTATTTAATGGAGAAATATGGAAAATTTGTATGAAAGGGGTTTCATAATTTAAAAAAAAAGTTCATTATTAAGCGCAAAGCTTCACAATGGGCCACCTATGCTGTCCCCACTACGGGCATCGAAACTCGGTGTTTAGCGTTATAAACCTTCAAACTTACCGCTGTGCTACTAAAGGGTGGGGTCATTTTTAAACATAACCAAAATATTGCAGTTCTCCTAATAGAATTCATAATTGGACAGAAAGGAACAAAATATCTAGAGGCAAGAAAGTGAGGCCAGTCAAAGTATTAAAAGAAAGGCTGGAATAACTTGCTGTTACTGTATACACAGGGGCAGATTTTCGGACAAATCTGGGGGTACCGATAAAGCTCTAGTATTGGAATACCACTATTCTTATGTTTCTGAAAATATATTTCGTGTTTTTTAATAGTTAATGTATCCCAAAGCTACAAGTAGAGTATATGCGAACTGAATTAAAACAGATAATAACTTTAATTTTTAGAACTGAATGAAAAAGCTATAGTGAAAGGTTGGTCTGGTTGTCAATAATTAAATATCCATATTACAGTGTTATCTTAAGGTTGGCTCAATTCTCATTTTAGCTCTAACTTTATAATGTTAGAAACTTATTTAACATATGGCACACTTATATTCATGATGCTCCTCGTTCCATTTTAAATTAAAAAGAGACCAAGAATTCTTCAATTTTTTCTAGTTTAATTTGCCAATTTTTACATCATCACTTCATAGGGTTTGCCTTATATATAACTTGGCACATTATTTTCATATCGAATCTTTATATGACTGACCACTTTATCCTAAATTGATTTTTTTGTGCATGTAAAATGTTTTGATCAGATTGTATTTCTTTGCAAAATCAGGTCTATTTCAGTTGATTTCATGTTTAATAATATGCAAGTTATGATATATTAAACAAAATGTTATGGTGTGTACGCCTTTTACAAGCCGGCGAAGACTGATTACAATTATATTCGTCATATTTGGATATGACAAAAATAGTGTAGTTGGAATACCATTATTATCCACTCTTCTAGTTCTTAAAAATCCACAAGGACTAGATTAAGAACGTAGTGATTACGAATATAGTAGGCCTAATACTAACGTCTTATGATAAATATGATTGTAATTACACAAAATGTCTACACAGCATCACCATCGATATTGCTTTGAACATGCAAGTCAACAGTTTGGTTCAGAATTACCAGATGTCTTTAAGGGTATGCTAGCCAGTAAGATTGCTTAGGTGGAAATTTCTTTGGAGTTAAATAGCGACCTTATGGACATCCTACGTGGATCGTTTATCTTTAAGAGACATTCCCTTTATGCTATTAGTTCATGAGGACTTTTGGTAGAACTGTGATCGGTCTCATTATGTTGTTGAAAGGAAACTATAAATCAACTACATGCGTGTTGTATTAATTAATTAATAAAATAAAACATTTACAAGTAGATTTACATCATTTTGATCATCTGCATAAAGTGATTTATCAAAGAGGCTTCTTTGTTTCAGAGCTATAAGTGACATTCCCATTATCTATAGCAAACAAATTGAAGTCTAAGCACAATATTTGTTCTCCGAGTTAGAAGTTTTTAATAATTATAAATACTGAAATTACATATAAAATAGCTTCATTATCTATGAAATTTATTTTTTCGAAAGTTATGAACTTTAGAATGTCCAAAATACGTTATCAACAAATCAAGGTTACAATACATGAAACAGTTTGAGCATATTCCAAGCAGTTCGTTATCTACATGTAAATCACACTGGTACGTGCCCCAATACTTGAAACTACAAATTTTGAAACAAATATTTTCTAATAGTTTCTGTAACGTATTTTCTAGCTTAGACTATTTATAGATAATGTTGTTTTAACAAAGTCATGACATTCTACTTGAAAACTCCTAACACGACCATATCTTGGTGTTTAGCACCGTTTTTCTTTTGAAATCTGTTCTTATGTTCTACACTTCAGCTTTAAATTTCTTTACTTATGGTAAGCTGTTAACTCCGCGAATAAAATATAATTATCGTCGAGTTATTTCTCTTCTTGTTTTTATTCTTCGAGATTGTTTTCTCTTCATTAAAACAAACCTGTTGTGCTACATCTTCGGACAAGATTAAGAGCTGTTGGTCGAAATGTCGTCAATAAATTATTTTGAATTTGTGGAGTAATTAATCTTTCAGAACATTATGTTAACATACTATATTCATTTTTCGCCCACGCAGTACTTTTAACCTTTTGTTTACTTGAGTATGTTTGCGTCATCTTTCAGACGTTTTGATCTAAAGGTTTTTCAAATCGTTACTTCTCTTAATTATATAAAAAAAAGATGGATGTGTTGAGTGTAAATTAAGTTTTTTTGTTACAATTTATAATGATAACGTTTGGTAAATACGAAATTTATATCAGAAACTTCAACATTATATTACTTCTTGCATTTCACGTTCTGCTAGGGGGATTTATCTTTATTTAGTTCCTAAGATACATTTGTGCTGGTTAATGTTAGTGAATTTTTCTAACATGTTCACAAATCACTTCACCGTACTAATGATGTTAACAATACTTTTGTCATATACGGACAACTAATGCAACCTACGTAGTCGGTGTTCTGTAGTAAGAACATTATCACTACCCCTTTCGTTAATAACTGTTTGCAACTCTCGAATGACGTAAGTAAGAGTGGAATCAATACTTTCAAGTCCCCGGGCTCTCTACTGACAGAAATGTTTCACAACGGTGTTTAAATAATACAAGAGAATTGAAGAGCAATCAAACCCGGAACTCTAGGAGCAGCTTCACTTACAATGAAGCAATTTTTTCAATCCCTAAGGTCATGTAAAACAAAAAGGGATTCCTAGCACGCTCTAAAATATATACATACATATTCTTTAAGGAAAACGAAATGAAATGATACTCTTTATTGATATCTCACGGCGACTCAATTAATTTCATCAAATGCATTTTCACAACTCCACTTGCGTAGCGACAGTGATGCGTCGCTACGATACATAAAGCGTTCCTTGTCCGCAACTGTACAAAAAACAAATAGAACAAAAACTATCCAGAAACGCCATAGTTGGTAGGGTAACTCAGGATTACCGTCTAAGACCCGCTGCCTTTTACTTTCTTACTTCCATAGAACAAACAGGCTTGGTCGGAGATGGGCGGATTAAAACAACCGAATTATTTGGATTAGAGAAGAACAGAAACCAAAACACGGAATATGTTTTTTTTTTATGTATGTATCGCATTTCAGATTTGCTGTGTCAATGCATCGAATCGAAACTAAAATACCGCGATGAATCAATCGTAACACCTTTAGCTGCGAAGGATGAAGAAAGTGATCTATGAATAAATAGATTTCATCACCTACATGTAAAACTAAATATATAACGTAACGTGTTGGCATGACTTTTAGGACCAAACCACACATTAACCCAAGCGTTTCGCTTGTTTTAAACATTATTATTCTCTTTCAGCACTCTATAGAATATAAAAACAGAGAGAGTTTTCCCGACTATTGATAAAGGTAGCCTAACAAATTAATGAAGGTAATATAGTTGCTGCCTCAAGTTTCATATCATCCTACAATTTTATAACTACTGGTAAGAAATTTCAACCAAACAACTTGCACCTTAAACTGGACACAATCCTAAATGCAAGCCTATTATACGTTACTTAACATAAGCTAGACTAGGTATATCTGTAAGCTTCCTTTTTTTTTTCCCATTATAATGTATCATTTAAATAAAACTTTATTTCATAGTTAGGCAGTTACCTAACATGTGTTGTGTGTTATGTATACACACAACACAAATTACAAACAGTTTTTGTTATTTCACTGTCTTTGCTTACGTGGTGGTCATTGCTTCAATGAGAAAATCACACTGATAGTTAATTAATAAGAATAACAAAAATTAACTTACCAAATATTTCTCCGTTGCTGGCATATTCTGAAACCAAATAAACCATGCTATTCGTTTCCATCACCTACACGTAAAACAAACATATACATATATATATAAAGAAATGGATTGGTATATCTTATATCTTACTATCTGCTACTAATTCAAGTATAACTAAATTCCCATCTGTTCGTCAGTATAAACATGTATTATTAAGGTAGCGTAAAACAGCTGTTTTGTAATATATAAAACATGATGTTTTTATATATATAAAGAACCACGATTCTACAGATTATCAGTGTGATATACTTGAAAATCCTTAAAAAATACATTAATTCAAGGCTATTCTAGGCAGTATAGACATGGTTTGGTTGTTTGAAAATAAGCACAAAGCTACACAATGGTATAGACATGGTAGAGTTGTGGTTTATATTGACTGTTCCTACCCGACGTTTCGGTTTCTTAGGTCAATTATACTGAAATCTTCAGTATCAAAGCCGAACGTCGTCCCACTGTAGAAACAGTCCATTAAAGTTAAAATTATCAAAAATACAATGTTAAAAGGGTAGAAAAACAAATGTTCACTTAATGAAGTTTGTCTAACAGTCTTTCATTTCCTCGTGATTTATAGTGGTTAGCGTGCTGGACTGTCAATCCGAAGGTCCATGGTTCGCGTCCCATTCCAACAAAAAAATCGCTTCACACTTTCGAGCTGTTGATGCCTAAAGATGTGTTATAAAAGTGACGTTTAAACCACGTAAAAAGTTGGTGGTGGGTGCTGTTGACTAGTTTCCTTTGCTCTAGTCTACCACTTCAATATTAGAGACGTCTTACACAACTAAGCACCTGTTTAGCTTTGCGTGAATATCCGAGCCAAACATTCATTGTTTTCCAGATCAATGATATATATACAAAATCGATTTTCACAATATATGTGATGCAGTACGTACTATGGTAAGGAATCGTTATACTGCTGTATTCTACACAAACGAACTCAAACAGGGAAAATTGAATAAGACGCAGCCGAAGAGGTCCATTGTAAAGCGTGACCAATCTAATGATCAGCGCTTCTTGTAGCCTAAAAGTTATTTGATTTCAAGTAAGAAATAGGCGATAATATGTCTGTATCTTGGATCTGCTTTTCAAATCTCATATTCTTTTTTTCAGTAAATAATTGAAAGTTCGTGATACTTGAGTATGTTTTAATCAGATGTAATCGATACCCTAGTGAATGTATACGGTAAGATCGAAGAAACATTTATGTTACATCAGAAATGAATCCTTACCTCAACCTCTTTCTCATTTTTACTGATGTTTAGTCAAAATTCAGGTAAGTAGTGTGTTCATGATTACTGGTTGGTTGGTTGGTTGTTAAACACGGAGCTATACACGGGTATCGAAATCCGATTTCTAACGTTGTAAGCCCGCAGAATTACCGTTGAGCCACTGGTGAGATTGTTCAAAGTAAATTAATCAAAAGCGTTTTAGGGCTTAGGAAACGTTAGGAAATAGCTTTAAAAGTATAAAACATGTTTGTTTAACAAGTTTTACCTACCATACAGGTGTTCGACTTGTTAGGTAATTACAGGTCTGACTCATCTATTTGTTATCCACTCTCGAAATGTTCGTCGTAATGTTTGGTTTGAGTAAATCCTTTGATTTGTGACTGCAATCAAATTGCATATAGTTTTAGCAATAAAGACCAGAGTGGATTTCGTTAGAGCTTCGCTAGTAGTGAAAGGTATATTTTCTGTTATAAACGTAATCTTTGATTGATGTTGACTTAAGAATTACGTATGTGTATATATTTCATAAGCGACATTGATGCCCTTTTTCAAAAATCGAAATCCAAGCTCTAGAGGTAAGTAGTGTGTTCATGATTACTTCTTCAAAGCTGGTTGGTTGGTTCTTAAGCACAGAGCTACACGCGGATATCGAACTCCGATTTTTAACGTTGTAAGCCTGCAGAATTAACGCCGAGACACCGAGAATGGGGGGCAAATAAAAATGGCGGTATTAATAGCGTTAAAAAATTAATGATTGCTTTAAAAAAAAAGTAGAGTAGAATATTATCAATCAATCATTGGTAATTTACACACAGTATTTTAGTCAAGCAGTTAACATAAATTATGATGATAAATTTTATTCATCAGTTTAAGGGAAGTCCATGTATTTGATTCGGTCCTGAAAATAAGTGTTCATAATTATAACTCGGTAAAGCAGAGAAATGGCTTAATTTTCACCAGATCTACATAATATATTTGCTGGCGTAGCTCTCAAATTCCATGTTAATATGTTATATATATATATGGTGGTGTTATTTGTGAAAAAAATGGCAGATAAATCATATTAAGACTCATTAATTAAGTACAATTTGCGAGATTAAGCATTTCTTATGTGCCACTCAAAAAGCGTTAACGTTAAATTGTGCGATTTTGTTTTCAAGTGGACGAAGTATCCGTTGTACTACATTTAAACGAAAAGTACACAGATGCTAGTGATGACTCAGACCTTGGTACAACTGTTCAGCTCTAAGTCTCGTTTAGTTTTCTATCAAACCAAAAGAGTCATTTTTTTTTAATTGTGTAAGTTACTAAAGATTAACGGTTAATGTTCAACTCTACTCTGCTCTAATTCTCGGTTAACTTTTTATCAAACCACAACCTTCAATTTTTCAAATTTTTACATTCAAATTTTTACATTGAAGACAACTTTTAATATTTTAAACTTCCTGTCCCTCTGCAATGATATCATGAGTTCGTTCAGTATAATAACTATCTGTTCTCTGGGGCCCAGCATGACCAGGTGGTTAGGGCACTCGACTCGCAATCTGTGGGTCGTGGGTTCGAATCCCCGTTCCACCAAACATGCTCGCCCTTTCAGCCGTGGAGGCGTTATAATGTGACGATCAATCCCACTATTCGTTGCTAAAAGAGTAGCCCAAGAGTTGGCGGTGGGTGGCGATGACTAGCTGCCTTCCCTCTAGTCTTACACTGCTAAATTAGGGACGGCTAGCGCAGATAGCCCTCGTGTAGCTTTGCGCGAAATTCAAAAACAAACAAACAAACATATTATTCTGGACAAAAACTCAATTTAAGTTGGGTAAATAATAAATGTATTAAAATTGAATGGCGAAATTGGTACTGGTCTCACTGTATTATAGATAGGGGTCCTGTTCCCCTGTAGTAACGCTTACATTGTGTGAAAGCCAACACAGGGAATCGAACCCCGGATTATAACGTTGTAAGTCCGTAGACTTATTGCTGTCCAACCGGGGTACTTGTGTGGAAGTTTGTTTTAAAGCAAAGCCAACACAGGGAATCGAACCCCGGAATATAACGTTGTAAGTCCGTAGACTTATTGCTGTCCAACCGGGGTACTTGTGTGGAAGTTTGTTTTAAAGCAAAGCCAACACAGGGAATCGAACCCCGGATTATAACGTTGTAAGTCCGTAGACTTATTGCTGTCCCACCGGGTTACTTGTGTGAAAGTTTGTTTTAAAGCAAAGCCAACACAGGGAATCGAACCCCGGATTCTAACGTTGTAAGTCCGTAGACTTATTGCTGTCCAACCGGGGGAGTTGTGTGAAAGTGTTTCTGTTTGTATAAGCAAACGTAGTCAATGGGATGTCTGAGCTAAATCTACCGCGGATATCGAACCTCGAGTTTTAGCGTTATAAGCTTTCTAGCTTACTGTCTAGGGACAGGTGAAAGTTCACTGATTTCCTAAGGATCGCTGGTTGACATTTAATATATTGAAAAATAACAATTTCAGTTTGTCTATAAAACTACTTGCTACAAGTTACAAAAACGTTTCTGAGAGACTTGTTTTTCTTTGTTTGAAAAAGATTGACGAAACAAATACATTTCAAACACACTCAGGCATGAGCAACATTACTTAAGCTGCTATTCGTAAAGACTAAAGTAAAAACAAAATTACCTTCTTCGAAACCTTTTTTCCTCTTCTTGCGTTCTCTCAACCCGTGTTATAAAGATATCGTATTGTGTTACTATCGGAAATATAATCCTTTTCAGAAAAAATAGACAACTTTAACTTATTAGAATAACATCCTGGTATAATGGCGCTCGAGTCTCAAAATCAAATGCCTTATGTACTACGATGGTTCGCTTGTTACTTGAATTTTCGCGCAGAACTACGGGAGGGATATCTGCGCTATCCATCCCTAACTTTGAAGTGGAAGACTGCTAAGACACGACCCTTAAATTTATATCACACCCACGGTCTCAAGGTGTGGGGCGTTTTTTTTTTATTTTATTGTAATTGAACGCAATTCACGGATCCTCAGACGGGCGCGCTAATTACTAGGCCCTCGAAAAGACAAACGTATTGGAATATCGAGAAACATGTGACACTCGTGTTGAAGTGAGCCACGTCGAAATGTTTACACCTTCCCCATAAGCAGCTCATGTTGAAGAAATATTAAAATATGCACGGGAACCACGTGGAAGGACGACATACGCGTTTTCTTAAACCTTCGAGATGGAAGGTAAATAACATTCGCAGCACATTTAAGTCAGTTTCTCTAACAAGCAAGTTACTGTGGTTCTCTATAACCCGACTCCAATTTAACCCGCATTTCAACTAAACTAAACAATCTTTCTTTACAGCGTTAGTCGCTTGGAAAATTATGTATAGTTACGTTGTTCGGGTGGTTTTCTCAAATATTTCAAGTCTTTGGAATAACTTATACAATAGACACAAGTCCATCAGTTGAGAACATCTTGGTTATACAGGCAGTAGTGGTGTTCAGATTTACTTATATGTTGCAAGTACAAGAAAAATTACTGTTGTTGTCATTTTAATGTAAGATACCCTAAACAAGTTTGGTTTTTTTGAAAAGTGAAATACAAACTACACGTGTAAACGCTCAGAAAAGTTCGTTTATTGTCGTTTTTTTTGTTTTTTAACAATATAAAAACAAAATTCATATCATCATCGTGGAAAACTAAGACATTGTTAGCACGCCATAGTATATAGATCCTGGTGGCTAGAGCACTCGACCGACGGGATCGAAACCTGTTGCTGAACTTGCTCGCCCTTTCAGCCGTGGGGGCGTTATCATGTGACGGTCGGTCCCACTATTCGTTGGTAAAAAGTAGCTCAAGAGTTGGCGGTGGGTGGTTTTTGACTAGCTGCCTTCTCGCTGGTCTTTCATTTCAATAACGTAACTTTATAAAGGTTTTGGAATAAGTCAATTTTAAAAGTTTCAAGATATCTAGTAGCGTGATAACTGGAGGAACATATGTTTTGTTTGTTTCTTTGTTTGCTCTACCCACCACGAGTATCGAAACCCGGTTTCTAGCGATATAAATACGCAGACATACAGCTGGAGGGCACATAAGTTTTAACATTTCTGGATGATCTTAGTACGAGTTTTTACTTCAGTTGAATGTGATAGTTCATAATTTATCTAATAACAACTAGTGTCACTTAAGTACTAGAAATGTTCGTGTAATAACTACTGGTGTCACTTACGTCCTAGAAATGTTCGTGTAATAACTACTGGTGTCACTTAAGACCTAGAAATGTCCGTGTAATAACTACTGGTGTCTCTTAAGTCCTAGAAATGTTCGTGTAATAACTACTGGTGTCCCTTAAGTCCTAGAAATGTTCCTGTAATAACTACTGGTGTCACTTAAGTCCTAGAAATGTTCGTGTAATAACTACTGGTGTCACTTAAGTCCTAGAAATGTTCGTGTAATAACTACTGGTGTCACTTAAGTCCTAGAAATGTTCG